GATATTTAAGAAAAAAAATAATACAATTCATTTGTATTTATTGTTAAAATATCTCTGCCAAATTTGGATAACATTTGACATACGACAGAAGTCCACACACTTTTCGAACAACCCTCGTATTTATTGAATCAATTTATTATTTAAAAAAAGAAGTTTTTTAAAAAACGAAAAGTAGTTTAGATCACAAACGAGATGAAATGTTTACGTCAATTAGAGTTCATGTTCAACAATTTGTTGTTCATATAGCAGGTTATAAAGGATATCATCTTCATCATCATCAGCTGACCGTCACAGTAGCTCAGTCGGTAGAGAGCTCGCTCCTGATGGGAAGACCATGAGTTTGAAGCTCGGCTGCGACCTACCTACGGCAATAAAAATAAGTAGCAACTGTTCCTTGCCAAGCGCTCAGTTACTATAAAAGTAAATGGTGCTGGTCCTTCGGATGAGACCTTAAAAACCGAGGTCCCGTGTACCGGCAGGCGTTGGTATTATAAAGATCTCTCAATACTCAATGGCCATAGTGCCGAGTAAAGGTCCAAAGTTGAAGCCCTTCACCGGTATGAGGTGTCGTCTCTACATGATTGAAAAATCGATCCATGTATGGACGTAGTTCAATAAACCCAGAAGTGACAAAAAATTAGATAGATTACACGATCAGTACGTACTGGTTCCTGCCGACAAAGCAGGTAACAACATTGCCTTCGTTTGTAAGCACATTATATAAATTGCATTCTAGAAGAACTTGGATTCAATTCTACAAGTGGTAATCCCACTTATACTCATACTTCCCTTTCTTCAAAATCATCTGTCAGTTTTGAATACTTTTTATATTCCACAGAGCCAAAATGAATTTGAACTACCTTATATATATTGGATTTCGAAACTTCATAAAAATCCTTACAAACAAAGATACATTGTACAGGTTCCAGTAAATGTTCAACCAAGCATCTTTTGTTACTCCTCACTAAGATATTGACAGTAGTGAAGGAAAAACTTCAAGAGTGCTGTGCAACTATTTATTCAAGAAGTGGTGTGAATCAGATGTGGATACTAAAAAATTCTAAAGAACTTTTGAACAATTTGAAATCACAGGACTTTAAAAAAAAACAGCTTAAAAACTTACGACTTTTCAACTTTATACACAACAATTCCCTACGACAAATTAAAATTCAGGCTTTTTGATATCATTGACAGCTGCTTCTTCAATAAAAATGGAACTCGTAAATTTACTTACCTCGTCATTGGTCATTTGCAAAATTATTATGTTAAAACAGATTTTGATTGCACACATAAGTACTCTGAATTTGACATCAAGAAGATGCTTGAGTTTCTGATTGACAATATCTATGTGGTTTTGGAGACCAGGTATTCCAACAATCTATTGGAATTCCCATGGGTCCAAATTGCGCTCCGTTATAAGCAGACTCATTTTTATATTCATATGAAGCAGAATTTATGCAAAATCTTATGCGTGAAAAGAAGGAAACACTTGCTGTGGCTTTCAACTCGACATTTAGATATATCGACGACGTATTGTCAATTTGTAATGGTAATTTCCATTCCTACGAGATAAAAGATACCACAGAGTCCAACACTTCTGTTTAATACCTGAATATTTTACTTGAAAAAGACACTAATGGCAATCTAACAACCAAGCTATATGATAAACGTGATGACTTTAACTTTTCTATCGTCAACTTCACTTACTTATGAAGCAATACACCTTCATCACATGCATACGGAGTATATCTATCTCAATTGAATCGATATGCACGAACATGCTCTACGTATGAACATTTTCTAAAACGAGGTAAATTTTTGACAAGCAAGTTGACGAAACAAGAATATCAGCAGTCTCGTTTAGAGTCATCATTTCGTAAGTTCTATGGTCGATACAATGACCTTGTCAGCAAATACAAGTTATCTTTGAGTCAAATGTTGACTGACGTGTTTCATACCAATTTTTAGTCCATTATTTATAAACTGAATTGACGACGGATTTTTTCCATTATTTCCTGGTCATGACAAGGAGCACACGGCGGGTGTGACCGGTCGGCAGGGGATGCTCACTCCTCCATGGCACCTGATACCACCTCTGATGTTTTGGATGTCGGTGTTTGCTCTGCTCCTATTGTGTATTGTTTTATGGACTTTGAGTTTGAATAATGTTTGTTATCTTCATATCCTTACGTAAAACAACGTACAATCAATCAATCAATCAAGCAAGCAAGCAAGAGTCGGCCCATGTTTGCACAATGCATTATTCTGACTCACATCATATATGTGACTCACATAGGTACGCATAAAACCTTTTCAGATTATTAAATTTCTTGATTGATTATTTTTCTTTAATGAAACATGGAGTTCTTTAAAATGAGGCGACTGAAACGAAATGATTCAAAAGCAACTAATTTCAATAATCAATGTAGAACACGAATTAAGTAGAATCAGTCTTTTAAAAAATAAAATCCGAAAAATTACCGGTATATTTTTGAAACCATAACAAAGTTATCTCTCTTTATGAAATACAGTACATGCATTCACATGTTATAGAGAAAATCCTTAATTTTTTCTTTGAAAATTGTCAAAATTACTTAATGGTTGTGTATTATTCATTTTAATTTAAGCAAAGTATTCAGTCAATATGATATGATGTGTACTCGTATATATAAACTAATCTATAAAATGGGTCACAAATTATTGAAAGCGTGTAATACGAGGTTCATTCAAAAATACGCACTAGACAATGTTCCTTCTTATCATAATATTTTTACAAAATAAAGACTTTTTCAAATGTCAAAGATTTTAATCGACGTGTAAAATCTGAAATGAAAATTAAGTAAGCCAGTTATCGGCACGGAGTACTGATAAAAAAACAACGTCGAGAAAGTTTCTCACACTCGTTCTGCCTTTTCACTTTATAGCGTCTTTGTAGTGACTTCCCTATTCATAAAAAACTTTTCCATAAAACTTGACACCTAGTTTGCTAACACTTATTCGAGTACCCTACGTTAGATTGTCGTTGTTTTCAAATTCTTTACCGCGTTACTATGCTTTCACAAGTTCCGCAATAGTTAATCGAATATCACATTTCTTTTTTGACTATAATCTGTTTCTTTCCAAACCGTCCATCACCCGAGGCATTTAAAAAAGATATTTTCTGGTTTCTCCAAAATTTTCAGAGTTTGATTTTGGGGTTTTCCGAATGCAAAAAACAATTTATTGCTACCCGGAGCTCCATGACGTCTTTCGACGTAATGATTTTTGCCTTTTTAATCAAGTCTGCCATTAGAAATCGATATCTTTTAAATGATGCGATGTATAACATTGTCTTTTAGCATCTGACGTAATGCAGCATATGGAGATAAAGAAGAGGATTCAAAACCAAAAGTCCATAAAACAATACAAAATAGGAGCAGAGCAAACACGTACCTCCGAAACATCAGAGGTTAAATATATAACGTAAAATAAATCTTTTGAATGTCCCTCGTATAAAGATCAATATTTAAAAAGTCAACCCTTTATTTTTTGTTGAATAGTCATGCAAGTACATAATTAAAATATTTGCAAATACAACAAGTCTAAACATGTGGAAACAACAAGTCTAAACAAGCTTTCTTTTCTAGGACGTGATCGGGAAGAATAAAAGGTAGCAAATGTTCTTACACGAAACGTTCAGCATTTTGAAGTGAAAGTTACAATTCCTTCAGACGAGAAATTGTAAAAAAAAAAAGTTGATCAGCCACGGCAGACTGTCAAGTGATGAGACTAAACAATCAGTAATTACCTCTGATACAATAATCTCTGAGTTTCATGTCGGCCTCTAACACTCTGACGCAACACTCTGACAACATCTTTGATGTGGATGCATTTCTTCTCATTGCAACAACATCTTTTACATTTTTTTAATCTGGAGTGACTTACGTCTTACCTCTTTCCCATAGATTTCATTTGTAATTGCTGATTATGTGCTCAGTCTTAACATTGAATGGGTTATAGATATGTCTACAAAATGGTGAAAATAAATAAAATCGATGGTGGGGTTCAATGTTGGTGGGATTTAATTTCGTGGGTACCTCGTATATAAAGAATATTTAATGAATAAAATTGTTCTTGGGGATGTTTATTCGAAAACAAGGGTGACCCACTCTTCCACAAACATATTCCACAACGAACATTTATGATTCTACAGTTGTCGGTTTTCTATTTTGAACACAATACATATTTAATCTAACCCCCCTCTCTTTCCCCAACATGAGATAGCTTTTTTTAGTTTGAATTGATTCCCTTTCTATATTCCATGTTTTGCTTGTAAAATTAAAGGTAGAAAATATTTCAATGCTCAAGTCATCTTAGGAGATATATTCTCTCGCGCGATAAAATGAAAGAAATTGGATGAAATAATTTGACCCGATTGATTTTAGCAAATTTGAATCGCAACTACATATCAACTGTTTTAGGCAGGATGAAACTTATAGCTATTAAAAGAATTATTTTTTTCCATGAAAAAGGACTTTAATTCCTGAAATTAACGTTCAAATATCTTGATATGTCAAAAACATTATTAGACTTCTTTATAAATTAGAAATGCATAAAGTTTATTTGTTGACGAAAATATATATAAAAAAATATTATGATATGGATACCATTGAAATTACTCAGATATTTTGTTCGATTTACATTTTTAGATTGCTGTTATTAACAGAATTATAATGATGAAAAACATAATGCCATATAGACGTAATGCTCCTCCACTTTTCATTTATAATTGTTCTCAATCATTGGAAAAGTATAGATAAATAAATGGCAAGTTTATATATATAAAAATCAAGAGGTAATAATTCAAACTTTATTTGCTACAATAATGATAATTATGATGATCATAATTATGTGCGACGTGCATATTTCAAAGTCCAAAGTTTTAACAGGCATTTAAAACATGTGCATGAGAATATAAAATTGTTAACATCCAACTTTCATCATAACACTAAGGATTTATTTAAGGGAAAATGGCGCGCAGAATCATGGTGTACGTGGTTAATGTAATGTTTTATGTCTGCTTCATTTCCCTAATATCGTCTGATGACTTAAACATTTGCAAGAATGAGTGAGTAGTTTACAACTTGTATGAATGTATATGGACATATATATATATATATATATATAACTCTCATGAGCTATCTATTTCATCAGAAGAATATAATTCAGGATATATATTTTAGAAACATGTTTCCATTAAGTAACTTTAATACCAATTTGAAATAGTATTGAATTCTGTATGTTGAATATTTTTTAGATGGGCAAGTAGAATTAGAATGACATGTATATAATTGAAAATTTATTTTTTCTCGAGCATAACATATATTTTGAGAATAATGTATTTTTTATTAATGATTTCTGATCTATCTAAGTTTCACAATTATGTTATTGTTATTTTGCTTCATAGATTTACTGGTCAACATGAATGCTGTACCGATTATAAAAATATTTCAGGAATTTGTCAAGGTATGTATATCAGAATGAATAGTATAACAACAACACCAGAACTTAGTTTTAAAGTTTTAGCTTCCCAAGACAGATAAATATTTTTTCTACAAATACATGTATATTATTGAGCAATAATTTTTGTCCACACTTTGAAAATCCAATGGTCAAAATTAAAAATGAGTAGGATTTTTAAGATCAGTGAATAAAATCTTAACGTAGCATAAATAACTTCGAAATAAAAGGGTGATTTAAAAAAATGGCAAGAAACTTAAACAAAAACGTTCTCTACCCCACTTAAATTGCATTTTTAAAAATCAACTCAACTCAAAAGAGATGAAGAGAGGTGTATTTCTTATTACATTTTTTGTATACATGTATTTAATTCATGTGATATACAGGTGTATTTCACTTAAGAAATATCAAGTATATTTTTTCAGTCTTAGTTATTTCATGAATATTTTTTCCAAATTTTAAATAAATCATGTTCTTTTTACTTGTAATGCATAGCTTGTATTGGTTTTTACGGAAAAAGCTGCAATTTACCATGTCCGTTGGAATTCTATGGACACGGATGCAAAGAAAAATGTCATTGTAGTGAGCAACAGATATGTGACAAGACAAAGGGATGTTTAGCTGTTACGAGTGAGCATTGTATATCTAAAATTGAATAATTTAGCATTCAGTTGTGAGGTAAAGGTAAGAATACGGTGTAACCAATAGAAATGTGATTATGTCGAAAGATCCGGCTACAGGGACCCAGCTTAGCTTAGAGCTAGCTTAGATAGTAACATTTTTGTCTAAAAATATGTTTACCAATCAAACAATGATATAGAATTCTAAGAACAATTTATAGCTATTTCGTTAATCTTTATGTGAGTACCTTTCGTAAGTAAGGCATCTACAAAAAGAGAAGGAACAAAAGTCTTTTTTTAATACATAATCAAAATCAGTCATCACAATACTCCGTATACAATCATCAACTCATTCTGATAATTATTATCTTTCTTCTCGGCATTTATTTAGATACAAGCACAGGTTTTTCACAGAATTCTAACAGGATTGATAATTTAAAAACAACAATTATTGCTGCCGTCACTCTTGTTATCTTTATTTTTGGAGCGTTATGGACAGCGTGCTTTTTACAGATGAGGTTGTAAGTACACGGACATTTGCCACTTACTTATTTCGATGAAATACATCTCTGACCATGATCCCTATAAATTTAATTATTCTGTTTAAAACATTTCAGAAGGAGACAAAGGAGGAAAAATATCAACATTTCAAAATCTGCACCCTCAGGTATATTCAATTATTTTTAATTTTCTGTTATGAGAATATTACTTAAATTTACGTTCATTCTTAAATTTGTATTTGATATTTCAGGAGATACTCCTAAGGACAATCAGGAACAAGGAGAATACATCTATAATGACGTGAGAGAATCACAAATGTTTGAAAAGGAAGCAATAAATCCTGTTGTTTGTAATTCTCTTCAAAGACAGCATCTAAATAACTTTGCTCATCTGAAATCTTCAAAAAGTTTACCAAGACATTATAAAACGAAAGGGAGACAACAAATGCCATGTGCTAGTTCTGATAGTTTTGATTATTATGGTAGTCCTGAAACCTACAATCACCTTCAGTATAAAAAGATGTGTACTTTACCTGCTAAACCAAGTGTTCCGCACAAGAACTGCTCAATGAAAGTTAATCCCCCAAATTTGCAATACAGTAGTATGAGCGTTATGACAGAAATGTACAACAAAGGACAAAGAAGTCAACATCAAACACCTGAAGACAGCTCGACACTTCCTAGACCAGGAAATCCCCAAACAAGGCATTTTCGACCATACAGCTCCGTTAGATACAACCGAAATGCTAAACCGGAGATCAAAACAATTCACTAATTCCTTTTTATGCCATTTGCATCTTATTTGATACCTTTATTAAATTTTAGATTAATTATTTTTAACAGATTTAATTAGTTGTAGTTTTATAGATTATGTATAAATTTAAAAATAAAAGGTTTCTACTAACTAGACATTGGAATTGATCAAATAATTGTGGAACGGATTGGTGCTGGATAATTTCCTCCAAGGATTATTGATTTCATTGTATGTTGTTTTACGTACCATTCAATTTTTTTACTCATTCAGACATCATCATATACCCGTAAGGAGCTTCAAATTTAGTTCTTTACTCGGCACGCAAGACCATTCATCAGTATCACTTCAGTGTGATATTTGCTCGACAAAGGAACAGTTGTTGCCTATTTTCATAGACCAAGGTTATATGCATTTGAAGTTTGAACTCGCAACGTTTTAATTTTGAAATGTTGATAGAGCGCTGGCTCCGTGATTGCTAGGTCTTTAATTTAAGCTGATCCAAGTCAATGCCATATAAACTTTACTAATAATACATTCTTCTACCGGAAGATGTACTGGCATTATTTACTTCTTGAATATACGAATGATGGTTAATCCTTTCTAGATATCCTTCTTTAATGAATTTTCATTAATAAGATATGCATATTAAGTGCTTGTATAGAAGTTATTAACCTCATTTTTAATTTGAAATTTAAAATATGCGCGCCGATATACTTTAATTAAGCAAACCCTTGGTTTCATCACATAAAATAAGCCCAAGAAGAGTACATTCTATTCTGCAGACAACATTAGAAGACTTTCAGCTCATATTTTCCCAGGTTTTGGTATAGAGGCTTTGTTCAGTAAGACTAGTAATTAAAAGAGTTTGTAATCAAACCACTATTAGACAAATTTTCTTTTGTCGGTTTTAAATACTTCTCAATAAATTAAAATGATGTTGAATCATCATACCTGTACAAGATTCCAAAACTAAATAAAAATCTTTACAAAGATACATAGCGGGTTACAGTAAGTGTTTTAACAAGCCTTTTTCTCTCGCTAACATATTAACAGCAATAAAGATAAAACGTCAGGAGAAATGTTCAACAATATTTTCGAGAACTGAAAATCAGATATGAATAATCAAACATTCCAAGGATAATTTGGAAAACTTGAAATCATAAGATTTGACTTAAATCAATGGCAATCATATCAACAATGGATTAAAGTAATTATTTCGTAAGTTCTATGTTCGACACAAATTCATTATTCACTCAGGTTAACTTAAATAATTTTGTGTTTTCAATTTATACGATAATGGATTTTTCGCGGATATGGTCGCGAAATGACCACAAATACTAGAAGCTGAACTTCGTCGAAGTCACGCGCACCATTAAGGATGACGTTTACACAGGTTTCAGAAGACAGAAATACAATATGCTAAATGAAAAATTATTCTGAATTGATAAAATTTGTCTCAACTCAATATCAATTTTAAAAAAGGATATTTTATTATTTGAAGAAAATCTGGAAGAACAAAAGTCAATATATGGTAATGCAGAGGAAATTTCAAATTTTCATAATATTATTGCCATATGAATGAGGACAACAAAAGTAAACTGAGGTTTTAGATAATTTAAAGTTTTATCCTTCAGATTTTGTAAATATTAGATTAAAATGGGAATCTGACAGAGGAATTTATACTTTAACAATTAATAACTATAGACTCATACTCTAATCATTCATTTATATTAAGAGTTCCTTTCCTATTATATTGTACCATTTAAAGAGTCATCTATGTGAAATTGAGTTATTTTCCGAGAAATACTCGGGGGACTAGTATGAAAACTGGGTTATTAACCTAGTTATTAGAAATTAAAATACTTCACCATTAAAGGAATAATGATTAAAGGTTATTATTTAGCGGTCAATGATCATAAAGACAGGGACAGTTCATTATATCAAACACAAATGCCATAATTCCTATGTCATTTTTGCTGTAAAAAGTACTTTTAGGAGTCATTATTTAGTTTTAAAGAGCCTTACAAGCAAATCGAACTCGAGTATTATCAATACAGATATAATAAATTACTTTATGTGTGACATGTATATTTCAAAGTCCAAAGTTTTAACAGGAATTTCAAACCTGAGATGGGAATACTGGTAGTACAGTATAAAACTGTTGTAAACATACAACTGTCATCATTACACTTATGATTTTGTTAGCGAAAATGGAGCACAGAATCATGGTATACGCGGTTAATGTCATGTTCTATGTCAACTGCATTTCCTTAATAATGCCTGATGACTTAAACATTTGCAAGAGTAAGTAAGTAGTTTACAACGTTTAGTATGTTTGGAAATATATATCAGTTACATAAGCTATATATTTCACCACATATTTGGTTTCTTTGGTAAAGTACTGTATTTGTGTATTCAGTAACTTAAATATCAATATAAAATAAATAAACACGATAATAAACTTTAAGATGAAACTGTACAGTTTTAACTGACTGTATATCCTTACAAATTTATTTCATCTATATCATAAACATTAATTTTGAGAATATCGGCAGTAATATTAATATTTCTTCTGCAATCTTCTTGAATTCATAATTATGGTGTTGTTATATGCTTCATAGAATTACAGGTCGAAATGAATGCTGTGCCGATTATAAGAATATTTCAGGAATTTGTGAAGGTATAAATATCATCATCAATTAAACAACAGTTTAATTAAAACTTTGATTAAAAATAAAAGCCCTATCCTACAGTTAATAGCAATTTATTTTTCAACTAATATGTCACAGAGCAATATTTTTTTCTATTCTTGGGGAAATTTGGTCAAATTTACTAGTATAATTTAAAGGAAGATAAAGATAAGTGACTAAATTTTTTGAAAATATAGTTATATTTTTTGATGAATAGGGGTAATTTATGTAAACTTCACAACAAATGACAAACTAAAATATTACACCAAATAGTCATCATTACTTTAATTGGATTTAGAAAAAAAACTTGACTTGGTTAGAATGAAAGAGAAAAGGTGTTTCTTTTAAAATATTTTTCATTCATACGGTATGCAGGTCTGTTATATACTAGAATAAATAAAGTATTTTTTCAAGCTAAGTTACCCTACTTTATAAAAAATAAAATATGATTCCTAATTTTAAAAAAACAATCATTTTATTTTTTTTTCTACATGTTATCTATAGCTTGTATTGGTTTCTTCGGAAAAGGCTGTAATTTACCATGTCCGCTTGCAACGAAAAATGTAATTGTAGTAAATGAACAGATCTGTGACAAGACAAAGGGATGTTTAACTGTTACGAGTGAGCATTTTATATATAAATTGCATAATTGAGAATCCTGTTATAAAGTAAAGGTAAGATTACTGTATATGATAGAAATGTGACGTTTTTGGAATATCATGTCCCAGCTTGAATGCAAAAAATCTCATTTTTGTCGAAAACATATGTTGAACAATTCAAACAATGATATTGAATAAGAAGACAATTTTATGGTTATTTTGTTAATCGTTTTGAGAGTACCTTTTGCAAGCAAAACATTGAAAAAATGAGACAGAGCAAAATTTGAAATTCCAAAAACGTCACATTTCTATCATACACAGTAATCTCAATGTTGTGTGCAGAGTTTAACAAATTGAATGCGACCTTAAAACATACACTGTAAACAGGGCACGAGCTCTGTTGTTGTTGTTAATGTTTCCGTTTCACACCGTGTGTTCAATTGTTAAACTCTGCACACACCACTGAGCACAAACTAACAAACTGATGTTTTCGGTTTGTTTTCGCACATTTCTACTATGAATTTTACAGCGTGCTTGTAAATAGCACGCTGTCTATCCCCAACCTCAACCCCCCAAATGATAATAATAATAAGATAACAATAATACCTGCTGCAATTAATTTTGTTTCTAAATTTTCACTACTGGCAGGATTCTGTGAAAAACCTGTCCATGTAACTTAATATAGGCCGAGAAGAGATATCAATTAAAATTAAACTCTGCACACAACATTGAGCACTGGATGCAAATACTAGTGAACGGGTTTGCTTTTGCACATTTCTACTCTAAATTTTCTGCATCATAATAATACCCCCGCTAGTAATCGTTATGTCCGTCCGCCCGTCCGTCTGTTACCTCATGTGCATCAAATGGTGCAACAAGATTTGTTGACAAACTTGCCATTATCAAATTGCACGAGTTTTGAACTTTTTAGAGATTTCCCAAAGTGACGTCTTTCAGTTAACGGTTGAGTAATTCACTGGTTTTGGTGCACAGTAACTAAATTTCTCATCTGACCAATTTTCGTAATTTTCGGTCATGCGGTCAAAAAGTTTTCAAAAATTATGCTACTCTGCGTTTCTTTTTCCTTTCAGTATATTTCATACATTTCATTTCTCAATATTTCGAAAATAATATATTTTATACGTATAACTGGAAAACATGAATGTTATGATCATAGCATTTTGATCAAATTGAAAATTACCAATAAAGGAACAGTCATGCAAACTAAAGTAGATAGTGGGTGTAACCAGTCAACAGAAGATGTTCACTCCTCCTTGGCACCTTATCCCATCTCTGTTGTTCTAGACGTTCATGATTGGTCTTCCTTTGATCTGTATTGTTTCAATAAACTTTTTACCTACATATTGATCGTTTTCTCATTATTTTATTCTCCTTAGAAAGGAAAATTTGAATAAAAATTGGAGAATTATCTGCAGAATTACAAGAGAGGTTAATGCAGGCTGACGTTTAACATACATATTGCAAGAGGCATTATTTACATAATGAATTGCTAACTTCTTAAGAGCATATGATCCCATCTCTGACGTTTTGAGGTCCGTGTATACCCTGCTTTTTATTTGAATTATTAAATGCACAATGGGATTTAAATTTTCAATTTTTTTCTTAAATTCCATCTGAGTTTCTCTAAAATACAATATTCATACAGGAAACTGGAACATTTTTTGCATTTCAATTTATCTGATGATGGATTTGAGGAGGATTTGGTCGTAAAATGACAGGAAATGCTAGAGGCTGCCACATTAAATTTAAAGTAAAAAAGAAAATTTAAAAAATAATAATCGAATTAAATGTAATTGAAAATGACACTGTAAAAAAATCTTTGAAAGTTGTTCAATTTATTAATACGATTTTCATTATTTATTTAAGACAATAGTTCTCATATATAAACATAGGTTTTTGGATACTGAATAATTCATTTAAATGTTTAAACTCTAGATATAGAATTTAATTAAAATCATCTACTCTTGATCAACATTACGATGGTATTTCACAGAACTGTACGGTCGATAAATCCTTGACTGGTTGACCCCAGATCTTGCTATGGTGGGATTTTTCTTTTTTGCCTGGTTAGCATATTCATCTTCTTTAAAATTTTCCTTTTCCATTAAAGCATAATCATTCATATTGACAGAAGTCTTAGGAGGCAGAGTACTTGTTCGCATATTTATAAGATGTAGTCGAGAGTAGGTATCGCTGCATCCTCCATAATTCCCCAGGTCGAAAGAGCAAGACGAAGTTGATTCTTGGACATTTTCTCTACGCGGTTTTGGTACACTTGTGCATGTTCTCATCATCTTTGACCTGTTCTGCATACTGACATTTTCTGGTCGAATCATTCTCGTATTTTCAATCATCCGTGATTCGCGTACATCATTATAAATATATTCGCCTTGTTCCTGCTGTATCGAGCATGCATTTCCTGAAAAAAGAGATGAACGTCCTATTCTGATACAAGCTGAATTAAAGAAAATAAGTATCCAATATACCTGAAGGTGAAGTGTCCGTATCATCAGTATTGGTATTAGATCCATTCTCCGTCCTAAAAGTTAGATAAAAAATATCAATACATAGATTAAAGTTAAAGTGACGTCAAAGGAACCATTTAATTTTCAATGATAAAGTTTATAATTTAAATATACTCACAATTTACTTCTAAGGTAGCATACCATTCCCAAAACGATGGAGACAAGAGCAAGAACACCGCAAATAATTATTATCATGGATTGTAGACTGTGACTGCTTCCCTCTGATCTCTTATAATCACTTTTAGTTATATCTTAATGTTAAAAATAGGAACTCAACATTTAATTGCTGAGTTTCGATACTTTTAATGGGTTTTCACCTTTTAAAACATATAAATTCTTTAAATTATTGAACTGTTAGTGCTTTTTAAAAAAATAAATTCCTTCTAAACGATACTTAGTATAAATTGTAGTTATTCAAAGCGCTTCCAGAACTTAACTATACATAGCTAAAATAGAAATAATGTTTACATTGTCAAAACACACGTGAATTCGTTTGAACTTTGTAATTGTGTTTTTTTAACTTGCTACCTTTGTGTAGCAATCATTTCTATTTTCTTCATGCCACCTTTTAGTTGAAGGATGTATTTCAATCAAAAATGAATTGTAGCAAGTTCTGAGTGTGTTTGTATTTTGTGAAGGAATAAAAGGATGCTTGTGAGGGTGAGGGTGTGTGTGTCTGTGCGAGGACGTGTCTGAGGGAGGGTCTGTGTTCGTGGATCCGCCCATGACTATGAAATAATGCAAAATACGCAGTAGAAATCTCCATTGCTCTGAAAAAATGACTCGTATATATATACAAAATACTTTCGCCCTTTTGGAAACGCACACCTTTTGAATTAGGCCTAGGCCACTCACCGATCTATTAAAGAAATTTACACTGTGTTCTTTGAATTCGCCCCATTTAAAACTAATCCTCGATAATCAGTGATTAAGGTGAGAGGGGACTCAAATAAAACAGATGGATGAAAATAATTCAAAAATACACATTTAAAAGTTAAAAAAACCTTACTTTTCAAATAATCATTTTGCAAAACCAAACAACCTCTTCTTTTATCACATATCTGATTTTCACTGCAGTCACACCGACCACGACATCCATGTCCGTAGTACCCGTATGTACACGGATTTGAACAACCCTTTCCATAAGAACCAATGCAAGCTGTGGATTAAAATTTTTTAATTATTAAAAACACATTCACTTATGTTTCAGTATGAGTCATGCGTAGCAAAGAAATAAGTGTTGAAAAAAGATACCCGTGCACTTTCCTGAAATATTCTTGTAGTCATGACAACAACTTTGTGTTCCATTTCTGTAATGTTGTTTAAAATTGTTGAAATTGATTAGAAAGAATGAAATGTTTCATTCAAGTCGATATTTTCAAATTTTAAACAGATGGGACATGATGAATATGACAAATTTGACTGCTCGATAAAGCGAATTCTTAAAAAAAAAATTGACGATTCCCTCCATTTAATAAAATTTTCATTAATTTTTCTATAATGTGTTTCTTAATTAGAGTTAAGCAATAGAAATTCATTGTTTTGGAAAACATGAAAAAAATCTAATCAAATCGTTTCGTTTTAAATATCTAGACACACAAAAAAAAATACTTACGAATCCGTACAAATCGTTATGTCTGAAGTCGATGTATATGAAATTGAGCATAAAAAATATGTCACAAACAATAAATACATGTGTTCCATTCGGCTTTTGTGATTTTTTCAAAAGATACATAAACCTAATACGAAAAGGATACACTCCAAAAATACATTAAATCATTCATAGAAATATTTCCTGGTGGTCAGACACTTGATTTGATCTTTGGACTTTGAAAATGTGTACAATACGTGATTATTGCGTGATTATCTAAACTTGAAATGGTAAAGTACATAAAAGAAATTGCCAGTTACAGAACAACAATATCAATAGTCTCGTTTAAAGTCATCATTTCGTAAGTTCTATTGTCGATACAATGACCTCGTCAGCAAATACAGTTTATCATTATGTCAAATGTTGATTAACCTTTTTAATGCTAATTATTAGACAATTATAACATACTGAATTTTCAACGAATTTTCCCGTTATTTTCGATCATGATAAGGAGCTCTTACTCTGCTTTTCCTATGAATAAAAAAAAAATGCCGCTTTCTAACGATTGCTACTTATTGTGCTCATTGTTTTTATATTCAATTGAAGCAGAATTAACTAACGTCACTGGCATGTTAGACTGTTGCAGAAAGAAGCAGATGTGTGAATTTGGCAATTTCACAAAATCTAAACGTTGGCAAGTTCTTTAAAAATATCTTAAATATTTTGTCATGAAAAATATTGAAACAAATCCATTTTAGAATACATTACACAAGAACTGTTGATTTTAACAACGTTTAACACATACAACAAAAGTGACTATGAAGTAATCTGTCTTTTGAGTTATGTGACGTGTGTCCTGTCTACCCTTAAAATCCCTATAATTTTCAGATGTATAGGATACTGTTTTTTCATCCTTTTTTCCTGCATTGTATGTATATTCCTTTTAGAGATCGCTAGAAGATATGTAAGACGTTGTAATTCCATTGGCATTTTACATATCGTGAGACAGAATGGCAATAAGGTTATTTTCTGATTATGTCAGCCACAAATACCACTGTTAAGCTGAAGACATAGAATCATACAGGAAAATGCAAGAAATTTACTAGAATATGATGTATTAGAAACAATATACCCCCTTTCTCTGTCACATGTCTGATTTTGACTACAATTACAATGCCTACGGCATCCATGTCCGTAGAACCCGAAGATACAAGGATTGGAGCAATTCTGTCCAAAGGAACCAAAGCAAGCTGTGACATAATTTCAAAATAAATTTTATTTTAAAAAACTTCAAATATGAATTGAGCGTTGCAAAAAAGTATAAAGGTGAAAATTTACCTATGCACTCTCCTGAAACATTATTATAATCTTGACAACAGGAAGGATTTCCTATTCTGTAAAAATAATCAATATTTCTTACTAGGATATATTTTATAAACAATATATAAATCCATCTTATTTTTATGGATTGTTTACGTATCTTGTGAAATTAGCTAATTTGAATCCAACCTTTTGAAAATGAAAGAAGAAAGGGTACATCTTATTTTCATTAACAAGTAAACTGTTTTATGTTTTTCTTTCAAATACTTCATAAAAAGTTTAGTTTGTTTTCTATAGAATTATTGATACTCAGGTCAGTTCTCATTATATTTATTTTTGTTAAATTTATGCAATAAAATAAAATACTCACGAATCATAACAAATTGAAGAGTCTTCAGAAAAAATATATGAATTATTAGTGGTACAAAATATCAAAACCAACCAGAATAAGAACCTATATTCCATTTGGCTTTGTTAATTGTTAAGAAGTATGGCATAAAAATGCATAATCATATATAAAATCTACAAACAATTTATAATTGAAAATATTTCCTTGTGGACAGATGAATATCTTGAACTTTAAACTTTAAAAATACGTGATTCTTGAATGACTGCCTAGCTACAAAATTATAACGATAAAAAAGAATCGCGTTCATCTACGCCATTCAGTATTCGTAAAAAATCAGAGATGGGATCTTGTGCCCTAAAAGAGTCAGAATACCCTGTCCATCGTGAATACTTGCCGTGTGCTCCTAGATCTGATCATAAATAAAATGAAATTCGTTGTGTAAAAGATTTCAAAGGCCTTTAAAAAATATGGGGAATGCTCAGTGCTCGATAGCACCTGACCCCACCTCCATGTTTGGTCCTGCTCCTATTTCGTTCTGTTTTATAAAATAGAATGTAATCTGTGTGGACTTGTTTATGTTGGTGAAATCTAGGGATCACTTGATAAAAGAATATGATGACCGTCAAGCAAAAACCACCCTTAAGTCAAAATTTTGACATTTTGAGTTGTTGAGTAATCCTGATAGACAATTTTCTCCTCTTTCAAGTGATATATAACATGTCGTTGTTCAAAGACTAAATATTAGTGAAATTTTTCAAATAAAAAATACAAATTATTCGTCATAACGCTGTGTTTTATCGGATAACGTCAATTATTTTGTTATCACGTTTCCATGGTTGTGTTGTTAAAACTGCCCAAGAAAAATCACCTCGGACAACAAATGACATTGCATAAGTGATTTTTATTTAATTACATTGTTATTTTTCCTTTTTATGATCCATATTTGTGTTTTAGAAATAAAAAGAAAATGCTCCTCGAAAATGAAAATAAAGGCGAAGATCTTGGCATTTGCTACTTCGAAGGATTTTCACCTTCAGTTTGCTGTAAATCTTTTTTTTTCATACTAAACAGTGGGCTTTAATAATTACACTTACGACTACTCATTATGTTGTTTAGTATAGGCATTTACTGTATGAAGAAATTATAACTAATAATGAAAGTCTTCACACTGCATTTATTTGCAAAATGCGGCAAACATTTATGACGTCAACTTTAGCGCTCGTTTTCTCGATAACGTCATAATGCAGGTAAGGGTGGTTTTCGCTTGACGGGCATCATATCAGGTCATCGATTTCAAATAAACCATGGTGGTCAGAAGCTTTTATACAAACATTTTAATTTACCTGATCATTCTATTTTGTCTATGTTAGAATTCTCGCAAAGATTTATCACCACACTAAAAGTCCATCGCTGAGTACACCTTTCCGTAGAAACAAGAAGAATTTTGGATTAAAAAAACTTTGGACAGTCTTCCACAATATTTTATGCAAAATTAAAATGGTGACCGCGATTGTTTTATCTTTTAAAAGTTATAAAACATTAAATGCAAATATGAAGTGCATCCTTATGAAAACTTGTGCTAATCCTTAATTGTAATGAATTACAAATCCTACAATTTTATAACGATTTCCTTAGCTTTTTACATTGCATATTGTAAGCTTCTTAGTTGAAATTTATTAACTAAATCAATGATGTATTAAATATTGAACGTACCTGAGTTCAAAGTACAACATCTTTCTGAATATACTAAAGATTAATGATTACGGATATGTTTAAAACGTTCTTTTTTTAATCAAAACTATGAATTCCTCGACTTTGAGACCTGAACTGTAATCGTGTTAATAAAACAGGGCAGGTATAAAACACTCGACTTGGGTCATTTTCCACATTCCTTTAGAGATATAAATTTTTTAAAAATTTTAAAAATTTTAAAATAAGCTAAATTGCTCTTTGAATAAAGAGTTATATACAACCATTCCCGACTTTAAATTAAAATCCAGGCTTTTTTATAAAATTGACAGCTGCTATTTCATTAAAAATGGAACTCGTAAATTTACTTACCTTTTTATTGGTCATTTACAAATCTATTTTGTTAAAAAAAAAACATTCTAATTATAACACAAGTACTCTGAAGTTGACATAAAAAGATTTCTGATTGACAATTTCTAAGTGGTTTTTGGAAACTGGGTCTTCCACCAATCTATTGGAATGCCCGTGGGTACCAATTGCGCACCGTTATTAGCAGACCTATTTTCGTTCAAGCAGAATTTCTGCAAAATTGGTACCACAAGGATCAAGCCGGTCCCTCAGGTGCCGCTGAGGTAACCCCCAAATCTTCCCCAGTACTGAGGATAGATTACCCAGAGTTTTGAGCCAGACATGGTAGAAATCATCATTCGTGGTAATCCCTGAACTCCGCCGCCCCCAACCCAGATTGTGACTTAAAGAACGTTACCAAAATCCCAACATAATATGTATACAAGCTATGTTGCTTGCGATACTTTAAAAAAAAACATTGTACAGTAGCACTGTACATATCACATAATCATCAACTATCACCAATGACACTGACTTTCTGATTATGTATCACACCTTAGAAATGTCCAATAAAACTCAGTATTGAATCATTTGTTACAACAGAAAATGTCCGATGAACACCAAATGGTCCCACCATATACATAATGACCACATCCTTCCTTTGATTCTGATTCCAACCGCTTGGGTGTTCCACATACACAACACTTTCCATTTAGGAATATGCTTCTGTCACTGAAATTACAGAAGAGAAAACAGCAAAATCATGTACACAAATTTTAGGGAAGGGTGAGTGGGTGAAATTTTGCAACATGTCTACCCTTCTACCTTTTTCGGTAGATTATGACAATCAGCGTCATTAGGTGCTTGATAATATTACGTCATCTATTTAAAACCCATATCTGGATAATGTTTAACTACTACAATTAGAACGCACGAGTTCTCGCCCTTGCACTGGTATTAAATGCATTTATCAAAATATGGTGATAAATGCGATTATAATAATATTATAATCTTAAAGCTATTGAGAACTAGTGTTGTTAAGCGACATAATTATTATTTATTTGTTATAACAATTTATAATGGTATTTGTTTTAACTAAAGTGTTGTAAAGCGCTATACACGTACATACGGGGATCGTTCAAAAATTACGCGGACTGTGCTATTATTTATTCTTACAGACGTCATATAGTTATGAAATTTCACAGAAATATGTATCTTAAGGAATCCAATAAATTTTGCGCAAAATTTCTGTATTTTAGAAAAATTCTACTTAAATTATCGGTATTTTGATATCGCTGATGGAGAAATACGGAGCACGACAAAAAAATTGAAGCAAAAGCATGCGGAATCCAAAATTTAACTCATTAATTTTCTATAATTGGCGATATTTTTCAACAATTTTCTCAAATGTATCTTTAAATTGTT